CAATCTAGCTAGCCAAACCCACTCATTTTATAAATAATGAAGTCAGAGCCCAGAGAGGAGCAGGGACTGCCCAGCATCAAGAGGGTTCCAAGGACCAAATCTGACCCTTCGTTTGCTGTGCTGGCCAGCTGATAGCTGGTGGAGAGAAGGCCTCCAGGAAGTGGCTGACTTTTCCCAGGGGTAGGATAGTAGAGAGGCTGGGCACAGACCACAGGCAAAGCCAGTATCCCCAAGCTGTCTGCTGATCTCCATGGAAACCCCAGGAGGGGCTGTCATTCCCAGGCCCTCTCCACCTCAGACCCTCCTGTGCCTCCCAGAATAACCAGCTATTATCCAAGTCTCACTCCCTCTCTCTCCCAGCCCCAGTGGGAGCAGGAAGGAAGGGGCTCCCTTGCCAACTGGAGGCATGTGGGCTCCCAGCCTGGGCTGCTGTAGAAATCTCCCTGCTCTTCTCTGTGTCCTTTCCCAACCCCGCTCTGGCCCTGGCTTCACAGGGGTGTGCAGGGCCCTACACCACCATCTCCAGGGTTCTGGGAGTCCACCTCTGGCCTCTGATGTGAACAGTTCCCAGGGAAGCATCTGTGGTGAAGGATCCTGGCCCTTTAATGAACCCCCCGCCAGGGCAGCTGGGGAGGCCTCTGCGCCCCCCTGCCCCCAAGAAATCCAGATTCTGCAAATGGACCTTGCAGCACTGATTGGGGCAGTTCCTGACTTTGCTCTAGGTCTAGAAAGCTAAACAGATGCACAAAGTTTGAGTTTACTTCCTGATTTTTCTCCAACTGGCCTTCACCTGATGCTGGCTTGAGCTGCCACGTGGCCCATACGCAGGCTGAGCACGGCGAGTGTGGATGGCTCTGGGTGTAAGCAGCACAGCTTTCTAAGTATAGACCTAGGCAGCCCCGTGGCTGCTGGTAAGTCGCAGGATACCATTTGATACCCCGCCTGGCCGATGACATCAGCCACTGCCAGGTGCTGAGGGGCACTGCTTGAGTCGTGGTAGGAGGAGATAGTCGGGCCCCTCCAGGGACCTGCGCAGCCACTGGCCCAGCCTGGCCGTTGTCTAGCTGGAGGCCCAGGCGAAACGGGGCCCCTGGTTCTGGCAGGCCCGCCTCGTGCTCTCCCCTCTTGGTTGAAATAACTTCGGGTCCAAAGTCACTCATAGGCTTTGGAAAGCTGGGCACTTTGTTTCTATGATGGGGTCCCAGAGCCAGGGTGAGCACCTCAGTGAGAAGGCCGGGCCACCCTGTGGTATGTTGCCAAGGACACTTGCTGCTGGGCCACCATTTCTCCCCATTTGCCTACAGAAATAAAGCTTTAGAAGTCACTGATTCGGAAGGTGCTGGGTTCTTCACACAGGGTCTCCGTGCAAGGGTCTGTTTGGTCTGCACAGATTTGCATTAGTTGCATTAATAAAATTTTTATTTTATTAAAATAAAAATTCAGATTTCTTTAGACCTGAAGCTCTGACTCCCGTCCCATAGTCTTACCTCTAACCCCAACACTGCGTAAGGGCAGAGGGTGGGTTTCTGATTAGTATCCCCCTTGCTGTTGCCGGATTTCTTATTGTCCAGTAGATGCAAGAGAAGTGTTTCTTGTACTTGTGTCTCCATCCAAAAATAGATTCAGGGGGCCTCAGGGGGCCTGGCCTTTGGAAGAGGCTGTGTTTTGAGACCCTCACTACCAGGTAACCTGCTGACTGGCAGGTGGCTTCACCGACTGCAGCTTTCAGGTAGAAAGGGTGGTCCCTCTCCCCAGCTAAGTGACCCAACCCTGCAGGGAGGAGGGATTAGAGAGTGGAAGGAACAGTCAGAATCAGTGACAGTGGTGTGCTAAGCACTCTCAGTTCTTGATGGACATGCAGAGTTCACATTCCAGGAAGCGACGCTTGTCCTGGGAGAGGCTGGGGCTGCTCCAGTGTAAGTGGGACCCAGGATTGGAATAATGGAAGGAGTTTGGGGAGCAGCATACCTGGGTTTCAGTTCTGGCCCTGCCATTTATTAAGTAGCCTTGCACGAGGTCTCTGAGCCTCAATAAAATAGGCTTAACAGCCTCTCCTTGCTGAACTGTTTTAAAAGGGATACTACACAAAGTACTGGGCATATTGTACTGGCAAATAGTTTGTAATAGTAAATGTAGTTGTTATGTTTGAGAACCTGAAACTTGGTGTGGGTGGGGAAGAGAGAACTATAACAAGAGAAAAACAATCCCTTGCATTTTAGTTAGATTGGGGATAGGGTTTCTAGGCTTGTTGGCGTCATGTCCTTGTCTTCCCACAGCACCCCCCTCCCCAAATCAGGCAGCTAAAGGAGCCTCCTCTTGGAAACCTGCTGAGTCATCACAGCCTTGGGAAATGCAAGAGCCTCTTGAGAGCTGAGGAAGCTCCAGGGAGAGAGAGCTGGAGGGTGGTTTCTGTACTTACGTAAAGGTCACTGTCACTGCCATTTGTTCATCCTGCGACAATATTGCCAACTTGCTTTTCATAGTAAAATGAGGGGAAAAGATGTCACAACTGCATTTTGATGAAGCGTGTTACTGAGGCAATAAGGGAAAATGTACCAGTGAACAAAAGTTTCTGCCCTGGGACCATTATCTAATCAGTCCTCTCTCTCTCTGCTTTTATCATCATCCTGTGACGCTCTAGTTTTATCTTCTAGAAGGATTTCTAACAACCAGGGGTTTGTCCAACCAATGATGAGCTTCTTGGTGCTTTTACTTGTGTGTTTGTTTCTAATTGTTGGTGTGAATCATTTTAAACAGCTATGAGATTCTTGTCTATAACCCTGGGGATTGAAAAGTATATACAAAAAACACAAAGGTGGAGCGGAAGGGACATGGCCTTATTCCAGGGGCCACACACCAGGCCTCAGCTGTGGCGCCCACCCCCAGGCATCATCACAAAGCCCCCAAACTACTGCCTCACTAACTCACAGCCAGTATCTTTATCAGGTTTCGTTTTGACACTTGAGTCTGAGATTTACAGCAGATTGGATAGATTCACAATAACATTACTCTTAAAATAAATTTAGACACAGCTTGCTAAAATCAATGAAAACCAGCTTAGTTAGATTCTCAAGAACTGTGAGCTTTATATGAATCATTTGATGTGGGATGTCTGGCCTTCTCTGTTATAGAAAATCTGGAAAATATAGAAAGGAGCCAAAGAAGAAAAAAAAAAGTTCTCACCACTGGTCCCGCAACTCTGAGCTTTCTCTATGCTTAGCTGTGTCTCATGGCAGTGCAGTGACGTGTTTTTGTGGCAGTCACCTCACAAGCCACTTGAGGCCAGGGAGATGTCCTGTTTTGTGTGTCTGCTCCTGGCTTGGTATCATGTGTGGCTCAAAGTAATCAGAACCAGAGGGGTTTCTTCCCCTTGGTGAGGGGAAAGAGCACAGCTTTGAAGCAGTTAGGCCTTGATTCAGATAATCCCTCTTTTTATTAGTTTTCTATAGCTGTGTAACAAATCACCACAGACTCGGCAGCTTAGAACACCCGCATTGATTAGCGTACAGTTCTGTAGGAAGAGACTGGATAGAGGAGTCCAGCCCAGCTCAGCTGGCTCCCTGCTTAGGAACTCACCAAGCTGAAGCCGAGGTGTCAGCCAGGCTGGCCTCTCACCTGGAAGCTTTGGGAAGAAGTCATGTCCAGGAGCATTCAGGTTGATGGCAGAATCCAGCTCCTGGTGGCCATAGGTCTGAGGTTCACCGTTCCCTGCTGATCATTGTGGGGCCAGTTTCTCCTAGAGGCCACCCACATTCCATCCCATGTGGCCCCTCCATCTTCCAAGTCCGAGTGGTGTCCTTTTCCCACTTTGAGTCTCTCACTTGAAACCTTGGAAAGTTTTGACGGAGAATTAAATAAAGTGAGGTAGCAAGTGCCTATGTGCCTGTAGAGAGTTAATTCTTTTTATTTTTTTTTCAATCATTCAAGGATACATCTTTACCGATTTTAGGGAAAGAAGAAGGGGGAGAGAGG